CGGCGCGGTGCGTCCGAGTTCCTGACCGCAGCTCCGGCTACCCCGCGCGGCGTCGGGAGGCCCGGGCGGATCTGCGCCGCCGCTACGGGTGGCTCCGCGGTCGCCGTCGGGTCAGCTGTTGCGAGCGGCGGGGCTGCTCCTATGGCTGTCCAGATTATTAGACGGTGGGCTGCCTCCGCCCTGCCTCACGCAACCCCGGGGACTCCTAGTTGGATCGGTGAGAGGCAGAGGGGGTGATGGGGCCGGAATGACGGGCATCGCAGGCTCCCACCCGAGGACCTGAGCCTCGGGCTCCGGAGCCAGCATCTCCCTCTTCCGTCACGCGGAGACTGGGGGACCATGGTTGGATTTCAGCTCTATAAAGAGCACACTCAGCGTGGAAGAATCCCGTGTCCTGGGGTTGAGCGGGGGGGGGGGGTGGCGTGTTTTGCTCATTTCAAACTAGACAAGCGTAAAGAGCTACCACTGGTTATAAAACGGCGCAGCACCCTATGGCGAACATTCTATTTTCTCTGCACCAAGTGTGTGTGTTCAGCGAATCAGGCCTCGCAAATTCTACTCTTAGACTGGACATCAGCTATATTGTGCAAGACCCTGAGCGAAAAGCTGACACGGAACGCTGCCTGTCACATCCAAATTGCTGACTCCTAATTAGACTTAGGGCTGACAGAATCCAGCTACCAGTACAGTAAACTTTAGAAAGGAAGCAGAGCTACGTAGAAACATCTGCCTTAACTATGTCAGCAGCAACTTCAAAATGCTACTTCTTAGCAAAATTTGTCACGCAACATGCTTCCAGTCTGAAATACACTTTACCTATTTTTTAATTATTCCATGACCATAAATGAATGTATATGGGAAACTCGTTTGTGTTTTTTTTTGTTTTAATTTTTTATTGTAAAGATACTATACAGAGGGGTTACAGTTACATGAGTAAGGTAATGAGTACATTTCCTATTGAGCATTGTTACCTCCTCCTTTGTTTTCCCCCTACCATCCCTTCCCTCCCCACCTCCCCAACTCCTCCCTCCCCCAACAAATTGTAAAATTTATTTTCAACATAGTGTCTTGAACATCTCATTGTTACAATGGGTCAACTTGTATCAGCATCTTGTGATTTCCCTTCCGCTCCCCAAATTAGAAAAATGTATATATAAGATGCAGGACACTGGAATCTAATACAGTGACAACAGGGATTATACCATGGGGGAAGAACATACAAAAGTTCGTTTGTGTTTTTGATGTTTTGGTTTTGTTTGAAACAGGGTCTCTTTACACATCACACGCAATCTCCTGATTCTCGTGCCTTTGCC